TTCTGTTTCCTCTCCAAAAAGCCCAGGTGAAGTCTGAGGACCTCTAACAACTGGAGTGCTATGGTAGGGGTGGGGGATCACCTCACTGCTTTTCATTCCTCTGGTCTGTTGAACATTGATAGACAATGCAATCAAGACAATTCCTGATGTGGTTGATTATTTTCCTGTTGCACAAGCTCTTATCCTATCTGATTCCTGAAGTTTATCAAAGTGACCATGCAGGTGGAAAATTTCTTACACAGGCAATTTTGAAGGATGCAAATGGTTGGAGGGCAACATTACTCTTAATGAATAATTCAGTGGTAATTTGTCATCCAAAGAAAGTTTCATCTCTCATGGGCTATTAGAATGTCATGTTAAATTCTCTATGACTTTGTAAATAGTTTAATGTTTTGATCCTATTGGAAATATCAATCTCTTGTCTTTAATTACAACTGCCACAATCCTCAGTATAACAAAGAAGGAGTGTTGAAGGATACAGATGGAAGAAGGTGGGTACATACTGTGCACCTTCACAGGGATGGCTCCTGGGCACCACAGACCAAGCAAATCCAAATCATCACCTCCCCCCACTGGCACCTCTTAACCTTCCTTCTTTGTTATATTCCATAACTAAATAAAGGTAACTTCTTATATTTAGTCTTCCAACCCTCCAATTTGGAAAAGGTCCTCAGTCTCTTATTTTTTCTCAACCTCTATTACTAATCTGTCCCCAAATCAAATCATTTTTACCTTTTAAACACCTGTCAATAGTACTCTTCTCTCCATCCCCTTTACCTTCATTTATCACCTGGTTGTATTCTTAATTCCCACTCCTAGAGAGGGCCAGGACCAAGCCTGGGTGTCAGGGGAGATGAAGTTTCACTAGTCCTGGGGCTGAAGGAACATTGGATGTGTGATAGGCAAGGCTCACTCAAGGCAATGGAAGATGGAAGGGCCTAAAGGCAAAGGTAAGATTCACACTTTCATGAAAGAGTCAAGGAGTATCAAATCCAAGACCCTGTGTATTTGGCCCAGAGAGGTAATGGGGTTTGGGAAGTTGCTGAGTGATTACTCAGTATTTGAAGCTTGCACTTATGGTAGGGATGTGATGGCCAGTGGGTCAGCAGTAGGCAGACACTGGAATTATAAAGCTTCTAAATTAGGTCTGTGTCTCAATAGCACTAATTAAAGTTTGTAATTATTATTATTTGTCTTTTTTTTTCTTATCTCCCCACTAAATTCTAAGCTTTGTGAGGTCAGGGACCATTATATCCCCAGAGCCTCCCACAGATTTTCATACATGGCAGACACTATAAAATATTTGTTGAATATGTGAATTGGTCTTGAATATTGAAAATTTAATCTAGTCACTTCAATCTTAAGAATTCTTCAGTGACTCTTCCATGCCTTCAGGATGAGATAAATCCAGAATCCTCAGTTTAGCATCTATATCCTATCTAATAATAGACAAACACGGTAATTAACTGTACCTCTGACACGCTTCCCATTGGCTAATCAGGGCGATATGCAAATTAACTGCCAACCAAGATAGCGGCTGGCAGCCAGGCAGCTGAAGCGAACAGGAGGCTTGCTTGCTCCAGTGATGGAGGAAGCCAAGGTTCTCCGCCTGCCGCTGCCGGCCTCTGAGCTGCACTCTAAGAAACAATGATGCAATTATAGAAGCTAAACAAACCCCAGAAACCTGCTTCAGCCTTCAGAGCTGGAGCTGCAACAGTGTTTCAATTATAGAAGCCAAACAAACCCAGATACCTGCTTTCAGCAGCCGAGGTCTCAGAGCTGGAGCCGAGTCTCAGAGCTAAAGCCGGCTCTCAGTTCCAGTGACAGCCATAGAAGGTAAATAAATCCCAGAATAAAAAAAGAAAAGAAAAAAAGGAGAGGTTGGGAGTTTCAGTCACCCGCCAGCCTGAAAACGGCCCTCAGCCCCTCACCCAGATTGGCCAGGCACACCAGTGGGGACCCCCACCCTGAAGGGGGTGTGACCAGCTGCAAACAGCCATCATCCCCTCACCCAGACTGACCAGGCACCCCAGTGGGGACCCCCACCTTGAAGGGGGTGTGACCAGCTGAAAACAGCCATCAGCCCCTCACCCAGGCTGGCCAGGCACCCAAACGGGACCCCCACCCTGATCCAGGACATCCTTCAGGGCAGACCAGCCGGCCTCCACCCATGCACCAGGCCTCTATCCTATATACTAAAAAGGTAATATGCAAACTGACCCTAACAGCAGAAGGACTGGGAATGACTGGTCACTATGACACACACTGACCACCAGGGGGTTGATGCTCAATGCAGGAGCTGCCCTCTGGTGGTCAGGGCACTCTCACATGGGAGGAGCTCTGCTCAGCCACAAGCCAGGCTGATGGCTGCCAGTACAGCGGTGGTGGTGGGAGCCTCTCCTGCCTCCTCAGCAGTGCTAAGGATGTCCGACTGTTTAGGCCTGCTCCCCACTGGCAAGTGGACATCCCCCGAGGGCTGCCAGGCTGCCAGAGAGATGTCTGATTGCCAGCTTAGGCCCAATCCCCCGTGGAGCGGGCCTAAGCCAGCAGGTGGTCATCCCCTGAGGGGTCCCAGGCTGCGAGAGGGCACAGGCCAGGCTGAGGGGCCCCCCTCCCCGCAGAGTGCACAAATTTTTGAGCACCGGGCCTCTAGTATGTATATAAAAGCCTAAGCAACCATTAACCATTACCATGGAATGACCAGAATGACTGGAATGTCCAGTCGCTATGACACACAATGCAGGAGCTGCCCCCAGCCTGCAGGCTTTGATTGCTGATGGGGCCTGCTGGCCAATTTCCCGGTGCCTCCCCACAACCAGCAGGCCCTGATCATCCAATCGGGGCTGGGCCCTCGGGCTGAAATGGGGAACCGGGGGTGGGTGTCAATGAACATGGCCCCTTTTCCAGGGAGTCGAGGGCTGGCTCCCTCCTCTGGGCTGGCAGCCAACCTCCTGAGTCCCTCCCCCTGGTCAGCAGGCCCTATTGGCCTGCTGCCAGCCCACCACAGTAGCAATTGGCTCCTCCCCCTGGTTGGCAGGCCCCAATCGTCCAATTGGGGCCTGCTGGCCAACTTCCTGGTTCCTCCTCCCAGCCGGCAGGTCTCAATTACCTGATCGGGGTTGGGCCCCGGGCTGGGACAGGGAACTAGGGGTGGGTGGCGGTGGATGCGGGCAGCGAGGAAAGGAGGAAGGGAGGAGGTGGGGAGGCAGGGAACTGTGTGGTGGCAGTGTGCGGGCCACGAAGGAAGGAGGAGGTGGGGAGGCAGGAAACCTGATTAGCCCTGATCGCTGGCTAGGCCAAGGGACCCCACCTGTGCACAGATTTAGTGCACCCGGCCTCTAGTTAACAAATAAACAAAAAATAAAATCATTTGGTTTCTCCAGGGTATGTTTCTACCTAGTGGCTTACCATTTCCTCTCTCCTCTTCCTGAAAGGAGGGGAAGTGTCAATCATGATATGCTTCCTGTAGTTATTTATCATGTTCATACACTTCTCCCCTCATAACCAGCAGCAGTCAGTTCAGGAGTCATGCTCTCCAGAAAGCTTTTCCCTATTTCAATCCCAGTCTTGGTTAAGCACCAAAATATTTCATATTACTGGATTGCAAATTTTTCTATTTTATCTTCCATCTCTGCTCAAGACATAAACTCCCTTAGGTAAGGGAGCTATGATGGTTAAACTTTCTTAGGCTATGGTGCCCAGCTGTTTGGTCAAAAATCAGTCTAGAAGTTCCTGTGAAGATATTTTTCGATGTGATTAACATTAAAATCAGTAGATTTTGAGAAAAGTGAATTACCTTCTGTCATGTGAGTGGTCCTCATCCAATAGTTAGGCCTTAAAAGCAAAGACTAAAGTTTTACAAAGAGGGAATCATCACTACAACATAGAAATGCTCCTTGAATTTCCAGTCTGCTGCCTTGCAGAATCTATAGTCAAGACTGCAACATTGACTCTTACCTGAACTTCCAGCCTTGGGGCCTACCCTACAGATTTAAGATTTCCAGCCCCAACAACCATGTGAGACAATCGTTTAATTCCTTAGAATAAATCTCCATCTCTCTCTCTCCTTCCAGGGTGGGGCAAAAGTAGGTTTAGGATTGTGAATGAATGAAACAGATTATTCTTGTATTAACATTTATGAATTTTTGTACTATTTTCCATACAAACAACTGTAGACCTACTTTTGCCCCATCCAATGTGTGTGTGTGTGTGTGTGTGTGTGTGTGTGTGTGTCTATTCTATTGATTCTGTTTCTCTGGGGAACCCTTACTGAGGCTAATACAGGAGATTTCTATTTTAACTATTTTTGTTTCTGTGTCTAGAACTTAGCGCAATAATTAAATGAAAATTTTAATCTAGCTTGAAATCATTCTCCCTTAATAAAGAGGACTTTGCAGTGCAGAGACAAGGTGCTGGTTTTAAGGAAATACTAATGAGGTTACCTGACACCAGGTTCCCAGCATATCCCTGAGCACCTCCTCCCCAACCCCGATTACTTGACCATCTGAGGCATAATAAAAAATAATGAGGAAAATATAAATTTTATGAGCCTATTTATTCAGTTTTGAATGCTGGAAACACATTATAAAGACTCAGCCAGCACAAGCCCTGTGAATTGGGAGTGATTGGATTGCAGCCTCGTCCCTTCTGAAAGCAGACGGCAGGATCAGCTTCTCTTCTAGAGAGATGAAAACCATGATGTCGTTCTCTGTTTGTTCCATCTACTCTTTTTTTGTGTGAGCTTTGATTTTTTAATGACTGATGAGTTACTGGAAAAAAAATTGCCATGCCAGCTGCTTTGGCCCGCATGCCATTCAGCATCTGGTTCAAACTCAGCATGTCTTCAGTGAGGGCAGCCAATCTTAGGCTGCCTTCCTGCTGCTTGCTGGACTCCTAGCTAAACAATGCTCAGTTATTCCATATGTATGGTAGACAGGAAATACTCTAAAGTCATTACTGAAAATCTTTGAGCATGAAGTGCACACCCAGGGAGTTCTCACCTAAGTGTTGCTCATCACTAGCTCCATCCTCCTGGGACTCCTCTTTCTGGGTATTATCCTCCTCCATCGGGATCTTCTGCTGAATCTCAGAGGAGGAACTGGGATGGGTGCCAGCCTGTACACAGCAAGAAAAAAGAAATATCACGATTGGGAAGCTGAAAGCCACGTGACCTCTGACAACTGACCGTCAACAGAATTACCATCTGAGGAACACTAATTACTTTGAATTTGAAAAACAAACATTCTGGGTCTTCCTATAATCTCACTGCTGATTAGCCTTTAGAAGGACAAAACTTAAACACCATCCCCACCAATCATCATCAACGAAAGCACACTTCTGAATAGATTAATTAAAGATTTGGGGGGAAAAAACAGCAACAAAATATGCCAGCAAACAAGCAGTGAACAACACTTAGCCAGTAAGAAGAGTCCATTTATCAGCATAGTTGTTTCTACTTGGGGTTTATTGTTGCTTATTTTCTAATTTTTCCCCCCATGCTTATTTACCAGCTATCCTATTAGGTACTTTGTATTTATTATATCTTTTTACAAAATTTCATATTATAGAAAAGGTTTAGTTAATGTCTTTGTTCTAAAGAGCTCTCCAAGGAGCTCTTGACTTGTCAGGCTTCCTACAGGTCTTATATGTCCAGTTTCTTTGTTTTGTTTTGTTTTTCTGCAGACTCAGGGATGCAGACTAGGGGATGCCCTACAAGATAATATGATCTCACTGTCATGCAAGGACTCCTATTTGCTGTGTTCCTGCTGTGTATTTGATTTTCACAATAACTCTAAGAATAAGTGCTATCATTTCCATTGTACAGATAAGAAACCTCAGGCCCAGGAAAAATAAGCAAGTTATCAAAGGTCACAAAACCAGTATGTACTGGTAAACTCCTTTTAAAATAACAATGCCCATTCCCTATTCAATTTTAAATTACTCTTTTTTTTTAATTAAACCTTTATTGTTCAGATTATTACAGTTGTTTCTCTTTTTCCCCCCCATAGCTCTCCTCCACCCAGTGCCCACCCCACCTTCTGTCCTTACCCCTCCCACTGTCCTCATCCATAGGTGTACGATTTTTGTCCAGTCTCTTCCTGCACCCCCACACCCCTTTCCCCCCCAGAATTGTCAGCCTGCTCCCTTTCTATGCCCCTGGTTCTATTATATTCACCAGTTTACTCTGTTCATCAGATTTTTTTATTCACTTGATTTTTAGATTCACTTGTTGATAGATATGTAACTGTTGTTCATAATTTTTATCTTTACCTTTTTCTTCTTCCTCTTCTTAAAGGATACCTTTCAGCATTTCATATAATGCTGGTTTGGTGGTGATGAACTCCTTTAGCTTTTTCTTATCTGTGAAGCTCTTTATCTGACCTTCAATTCTGAATGATAGCTTTGCTGGATAAAGTAATGTTGGTTGTAAGTTCTTGCTATTCATCACTTTGAATATTTCTTGCCACTCCCTTCTGGCCTGCAAAGTTTCTGTTGAGAAATCAGCTGACAGTCATATGGGTACTCCCTTGTAGGTAACTGACTGTTTTTCTCTTGCTGCTTTTAAGATTCTCTATTTGTCTTTTGCTCTTGGCATTTTAATTATGATGTGTCTTGCTGTGGTTCTCTTTGGATTCCTTTTGTTTGGGGTTCTCTGTGCATCCTGGACTTGTAAGTCTATTTCTTTCACCAGGTAGGGGAAGTTTTCTGTCATTATTTCTTCAAATAGGTTTTCAATATCTTGTTCTCTCTCTTCTTCTGGCACCCCTATAATTCAGATGTTGCTACGCTTGAAGTTGTCCCAGAGGCTCCTTACACTATCTTCATGTTTTTGGATTGTTTTTTCATTTTGCTTTTCCAGTTGGGCATTTTTTGCTTCTTCGTATTTCAAATCTTTGACTTGATTCTTGGGATCCTCTTGTCTGCTGTTGGATCTCTGTATATTATTCTTTATTTCAGTCAGTGTATGCTTAATTTCTAGTTGGTCTTTTTTCATATCCTCCAGGGTCTCACTAAATTTATCAGTGGTTTCTAGAAAATTCTTGAACAACCTTATAACTGTGGTTTTGAACTCTATATCCAGTAGTTTGCTTTCCTCCATTTCTGTCATTTGTGACCTGTTTCTTTGTCTCCACATTTTTTATGCTTCCCTGTGTTGGTAGAGTGGCTTGGTGTGCTAGGTGTTTTATAGGGCCCAGTGGCTCAGCCTCCCCAATTACCTGAGGTGGACACTCTTGGTGCACCCCTTTGTGGGCTTTGTGCACAGTCTTGTTGTAGTTAAGCCTTGATTGTTGTAGGTATCACTGGGAGGAATTGACCTCCAGGCCAACTGTCTGTGAGAATCAGCTGTGTCTATGGTGGGAGAACTTCTGTGCTGAAGACACCCCTCTGGGGCAAGACTTGCTTCAGTGGGGCTTTGGTGCTCACTGAGTCTGCCCCCTGAGTGTGTCCCTTATGGATCTGAGGAGTTGTAATCTGGATGGTCCCACTCTGACCACTGGGTACACTGGCTCTTGGATCTAAGGAGGTGCTAATTTAGCCTCTGCCTGAGGTTACCCAGCAGGGGTTATGAAGAGGTATGCAGATTCCCCTTCCTTGTTTGGGCTTTGGAGGTGCCCAGATGAGGCCCAGCTGTGAAGCAATGCAAGCTCCTGTGGGGCCTTGGGCCTTCTCTTGGAAATTCTGGGTCTGTTTGGCCCAGCTGCAGTTTGTTAGGTAATTTTCAGATTGCAAAGGGCCAGGGCATTCATATGCAAAAGCCTCTGCCGCAGCTTGGGTGGGGCGGGGTCTCAGAGAATCAACAGGGCGGAGCGAACAGCTATGGCTGATCCTCAGCCCTGCCCTAAGAGTCCTCGAGTCTCAGTGTCCCGGTAATCGCTGCAAGCACTCTGAGAGAAAGCCACCCTCAAGTTCCGAGTTCTGCCTGCTGCCAGACAGTCCAGTTTCTCCCCGTATGAGTTTGGGTCCCCAGAGACTTCCCGGAAGTGGAGTTCAGAGCAGTTGGGGGCTTGTGACTCCCTCCCAATTCAAAAAGACAGCCGCGTTCTCAGTTGCCAGCCCCTTTCTGCGCGAGCCTCCGTACCTCTGCACTTTACTTCCACACCTTCTCTGAGTCTCAGTGTGCTTTTCTCTTTCCTTCTAGTTGTAGAGGTTCCACGCAGCCAGCCTTCCTGTAGTTCTGGATGATGTCCGTTTTGTGTTTTAGTTGTATTTTGAAGTTGTTATGGGAGGTATCAATTTCCGGTGTTTACCTATGCCGCCATCTTGGTTTCTCTTTTAAATTACTCTTGATGTATTAAGGAGGATGGATTTTAATGTTGGAAGAACTAGAGGCATAAAGACCGTTATGGGTCTATACAATATTTGAGGGGACAGATGCTAAGAAATTAATTTAAAGCATTTGTTTAAGATAACAAGGTCCAGACTGTGATACATATGAGAGGTAAAAGTCATCAGGCCAAGATGATTTATTGGTACCGGGAGGTGAGTACCGGGGAGAGTCTGGTGTAAATATGGGTAAAGTAGTAGATGATGGTGCTATTATTTAAGAATGGAAATAGAGAGTGGAGGAGATGTGGAATTTTAAGGGGAATTCAATTTTAGATATGTTGAATTAGAATACATCCATAAAACATCCAAGTGAAGTTAGATATCATGGCTGAAGATATGTATTTGGAAGATATAGATATTGAGAAGTTTTGCTTTTCTTCAAAATGAGAGGCAGTGAGCTAACTGATTCATAATCTGAAGGAAGGTACAGAGGTAAATGGTAAAGATATACGAGAAAGGGGGACTAAGGGGGACTAAGTGATTGAAGATGATCATGGGAGAAGAAAGAGAGGATAGGGTCAAGAACCCAGTGGATGGTTGGCTTTGACTAGATGAAGTGCTCCTCATTCTAAGAGAATAGGTTGGGGAAAGGAGATGTGAATAGATGCCCATCTAGATCAATAGCTGTGTGTTAGGAGAGGTTGAGAGTAGAGGAATTCCATACTGAGGGCCTCACTTTTGTCAATTAATTATAAGGCCAACTCTTCCATTGAAAGTACCAACTTCAATATTATTTTAGAAGAAAATGCTGAAATATAGACTTGCATTGTTATATTAAATAGAGTCTTGAAAAATTTTTGTGCTGAAAATGCTGCCATCAAGAAAGTGAAAAGACAACTCAAAGAATGCCAGAAAATATTGCAAATCACATATCTGATAGGACTTGTATCTAAACTAGAAAAATAACTCTTAAAATGGAAAATGGGGCTTTTCTGGAGTGGCATTATAGCTGCTTCCTCTGGCACAACATACATTGAGAAGAAGAATGCCAGGAGCTAAATGTTTTATTTAAACCTGTGGTTGCTGCTCAGAAAATAAAGACAAAGTTAGTGGTTTATATGTTCTTCATGTAAGAGCAGTCTACTAAAGAAGAGAAGTAGCTGTGTTGTTAAGGCTGAGAAATTTGAAACAAATTTTCAGATGATACACAACTTCTAAAAATCCAAGATGGTGGAGTAAGTGGAAGTTGGACTCACCTCCTCCCATAATCACATAAAAATTACAATTAAATTATAGAAAAACCAACACAGAGAACCATGTGAAGAGTAGCTAATCAGAAGTTCTATAACTAAGGATATGCAGAAGAAGCAACGATGAGATTGGTAGGAGGGGCAGAGGTAGGAAATTAGCCCGCTCTGCACCCATGTGCCATGGTTAAGAATCTGGAGGAATATTTCAGCTGCAGAGGAGCAAGGGCTCTCAACCCTAAGCTGGGCTGTCCAGCCCAGAGCACCAGTGCTGGAAAGAGGAGCCCACATAATATCTGCTGTAAGACAGAAGGTTGATGGAAACCCAGGGACTGCACACAAAATCTTACTCAAAGGCACTCACCCTGGGCAGAGAGAAGATGGCTCGGCGCTGGAGTCATATAGGGAGAGACTGAATTGTATGGCTTCAGAGAGCTGGAGAGATGCCACCAATGTCTCTGTGTTAAGTCTCTTTCCCACACCACCTACTAACACCATCTTTACTGGTCTGCCACTCACCCAACAAGGCATTGGCCTGGGATCCACTCTGGAGTCTCCCTGAGGCCCTGCCATAACCAGTTTGTTCATGGCTGTGGGCTC